AAGGCATTACGTTTTCAGCCACTGCATCACTCATAAGGCAGCTAAAGACTTTCATAGCTACTGTGAAGAGATAATGAGATAAAGGATTTCCTTGGCGGAGACCTTTCTTTGGAGAAAAATAACCTACTACCCCTCCATTAAACTCAAACACTCAACTTTGGAGTAGTCACACACATTGCAAGCCATTTAAGAAACTGATTAGGGAATCCCATAGCTTCAAGCACAGTCATCAGAAAGTTCCAGTCAACAGAGTCGAAAGCCTTCATAAGATCAACTTTTATTATACTACGAGGAGAGATGTTTTTCCAGGTATACTTCTGAATAATTTCATGAGGAAGCAATATGTTTTCCCCAATCACCCTATCTTTAACAAAAGCTGTTTGATTCTCACTAATGACACTAGGTAAGCATTCACTAAGTCGACAAGAGAGGATTTTAGAAATACACTTATATAAGATATTGCAACAGGAGATAGGGCGAAAAAACTTCATCTCTTCCGGGATCTTTATCTTAGGAACTAGAGCAATAACCGTAGAATATACCTCATATGGGAAAGAGGAGTGAGCAAAGCAGTGTTGAATAGCAGAAGTTATTTCCCCTCCTATAATATCCCAAGCTGCTTTAAAGAAACAAGCAGAATACCCATCAGGTCCAGGGCTTTTTTCACCTTTGAAACCAAACATAACTTTTTTAATCTCATCTGCAGTGGCCAATCCATCTTTCTTACCCACCAAGTCTTTATAGAAGTTAACAGCAATAGAACTCATAGAGTCAGTATCTGTAACTCTCTTCCCTTCTGAGTCTGGCAAGGATCTGATAGTATTCCTTAGTTGGTGTACCTTTACTGATCTATGAAAATAGGCAGAATTGAAATCTCCAACTGGCAGCCAAATTTCCCTAGACTTTTGTCGCAGAAAAGATTCTTCATCTGACTTTAACTATCTAAGTTCCTAACATAGCTCCTTTTCCTTCACAAAAGTCTCACTACTGGGATTAGACAGAGCTTCAGCCTGAGCATATTGTACTTCTATAGACTTTAACTTTACCCTCTCCCTAAGATCAGAGTACTCTTCTCTGTTTAGAGTTTTTAATAACTTCTTCAGTATTCTTAACTTCTTGCATACCCGAGACAGGGGAGAACCCTCAACTTCTGACTCCCAAGCTAGCTTAACAAGATCAAAAAACTTTGGATGGGATATCCGGAATTTGAAGAACTTGAAAGGCTTAGGAAGAGACTTAAGAGAACTATCAGAGTCTAACAGCATAGGGCAATGGTCAGACACTGCTGGATCTAGGAGCTCAACAGTACTATTTGAGAGACTATCCAACCAAGCAAGATTGATCAAGGCTCTGTCCAGCCTCTTAGCAATAGGATTATTTGACTGCTTATTTGTCCAAGTGAACCATGGACCAGATTATTTATGGTCTATCAGCTCAGCTTCCTGCTGCGAAACCTTGAAATCATTCATGCTACCATTGTAATCTGGGTGATTAGAGGCTTCACTAGGATCAATGATAGAGTTAAGATCCCCTAAAGCGACCCAAGGCAACTGAGAGACTTTATACTTAAGCAGATCATCATTTAACATTCTTCTTCCCATTTCCACATTTGAAGCATACACAAAAGATGCAAAGAAAGGAACCCCAGAAGACACCAAAACATGAATAAATTGATCAGACTGATCAATAACTCTGAGACTAATATTCTTCTTCCATAGAAGCCAGATTTTCCCCAAACCTTTGTCATTCCTAGACACTGAACTCTCCCAATTAGCAAATCTTTTGGCAATAAGATCTTCATTTTCTTTCCCCCTTATCCTTGGCTCTAGAATAGCTACTATATCTATGTTTTTTTTTTATTTACAAGCTGTTGAACAATTTATTTTTATCACTATCCTTATACCCCCTATTATTCCAAACCTTAAACTTCATCTTTTTTTACCCCCCCCCCCCTTTCTTAGCAGGGCCAACATGAGGAATAAAATCTTTCTTCTTAGAACTCTGCACTGTAATCCAAGGATTCTTCTCTTTACCTTCAGGAGTTATCTGCTGCTCTAGCTTCCCAGGGTCACCTGATGAACTAGAGCTAGCAGACTGTTGGAGAAGTGGAGCAGGACTCCCAACTACTGCTGATGAACCACACTCCCCATCCACAACTCTCCCAGAAGGGCTCCCTTGTGGCATAGGAGTGGAGAAATTACCAAAATTCCCTACCTCAAAATAGCTGACCTCTGAACCTATTGAAGCATTACCTAAACTTACATTAACCTAGGCCTCAGTACCAGTACCCAACTGATTAGACTCCTCTGCTTCCATCCCATAAGAGCTAGCTTCATTAGCCATCAGCAAATCACCTTCTAGATTAACAGTAGCCTGACCCTCATTTCCATTTTCCAACTGAATACCCTCAGCCTGGCCTTCAATCTTCTTTCGAGGAACCCCTGTCTTACCTTGATTTGCTAACCAGTCACAATCATGGCCATAAACCTCACATCTATTGCAAATCATAGGAAGATTAAGATACTCCACTTCCACCTCAAATGAGGGGTCATCATCTGGATATAATCGCGCACGCGAAGGAAACCCACAATCAACCCTAATTGACCTTAGCAAACCCTAATTGACCTCCAACCCTTGTAGACAAATCCATCCAAAGAGGAGGCCCCAAAGTGCTTGCAAGTAGCAATCCACTCATGGCCTTCAAACGAGTGGTATTCCAGCGGTATCCCCCTGATACGAACCCAGATTGGAAGAGATTCCACAACAAGAACAACAGGTTGAATACCCGGAGACCATTTGCGAAAAACATAGGATTCCCTGGAAATGCCATGGACCAGAACGAAATACCCAATTACCTGTAGACGCAGATGGCAACTGAAAGACCATCAGATGAGGTCCAAACTTCGAGACCCTGACGACGCCATCTCGCCCCCAGACTTCGTAGCCCACTGTTGTAGAGCCGACGGCTTCGGAACGGGACCCAAGAACTAGGCTATCAAACTATCCTACCACCACTCCTCACCTCGCTTCTTAACTTCACGAGGGAGACGAAATCCATCCTCCTTTCGCTCTGGATGCCGGAAAGTCATCCTGTTTGCAGGATCTACAGAGAAAAGTGAAGCCCAGGACACAGCCAGGAGGGATGTGCCCGGCGGCGAGGCCACCATAGCTAGGTCAGAGCAGATCAGAGGATTTTAGAGAGAAGAAAAAGAGAGAGAAGCACTTCCCGTCAACCCCATATTATTTACAATAACGCGTTTTGCATTATTTCCAAAGAAGCAGCAGCCCAAATAACTCAACCAAATTTATATATGGATTGAAACAATTTATTTTTGGCCGAAATGACTCACTCAAATCACTCGTTTAAACGTACTCTGACTTGTAAGTAGTCGTAATTTGTAAATATTATTATAGTTTATCATACAAATTAGTATGGTTTGTAATATAAGCATATCCATTTCTTTTGAGAAGTCATAATTTGTGATATAACCCGATCTAATTAATTTGAAATTTTATTTTATTAAGTGGCTGGGGTTTGGTCTGGGTCGGGTTTTGTTCATAGGTTGGGTTGGGTGTGTAACATGACGGGTTCAGTGACTTGGCTGGTTTGGTTTGACCATTTCTGGCCCAAAACAGCACTGACTTGGCGCTCTTGTTAGCCATGTCAGCACATAATGGACGTCATCAACGGAGTTGGACGGAGACTAATTGAGATTGACCATATGTGACATGTTTCAGTAATTTGAGTGACCAAAATTTATATTATTTTTTCCTAGTGACTAAATATGACACGATTTAGTAATTTCAGTGACCAAATGTGATATTTACCTGAAAAAAGAATTATTATGTAAATTAGTGTGGTTTGTAATGTAAGTTCTATCTATTTGTATTATTATTTGTAGTTTGAAATGTAAATTAGTGTGATTTGTTACGCAAGTATCCATTTGTATTGTAAGTAGTCATAAGAGAGATAGTTTTTGGTTATATTTAGTTTGTAATGTTAATCGATCTGGTTTGTAGTTTGATTTTTATAATGTATAATGTATTTTAGTCTAATTTGTAACATTTTCAATTTGGTTTGTAATATTTGTATAGTCACTTTGTAATATTAGTTATTCTAGTTTGTAACAGTTCACAATTTGGTTTGTAAGGGTAATTTTAAATATTTATTATTTTTAATGTTTCTCAGTTTAGTTTATTATGTTTCTCACTAAGATTTGTAAACTTTATGGTCCCCATATATAACTGTGTATACATTATGCTTGTAAAATTATTTTGTAATTTTTCTATACCTTCTAAATTCATTGTAATGTCTAGCTTATATACTACGTAGTAATGGTTCGTATAGTTTTACTATCTAGTTTGTAGATTATATAAATATAATTTATTATAAAATTAAGAATTTTTTGTAGGTTTATAAATATAGTTTTACTATCTATTTGTTGATTTTCAAAATGTAATCGTCGAGTAATTTTTGGTGCGCGGTTAATCATCAGTTTGACCCGTTGGGAACTTGAGAGCTCCTAAAAACCAGGAATGCGACGCAAATTCAAAGGCGATCGTCCTAGGGTTTCACGGGCCATCCCGGCGGTGACAGCAGCGCTGGCCGAGGGAGGGGCAGCTGATAGCCCCATGATGCCAGAAGTTGTGTCGGGCCATTGATGTCTGCCACCTGAATCATCTTCCCCAAATCCTAAGGGTGAAAGGGAAGCGCAGCAGACGAAGAAAAGAGCAAAGCAAGTTGTACCGCGTATGGAGGGAGAGGTGATATTAACCTGGACGACGCGGAACAGATAGGCCAGCGAAGCACTCAGACTTCGAGTCCCCGACTGTCAATCTGGGGACCGGGTTCGGTGCCAGCGAGAAAACTCTTTGGTGACTCACCGCACATGAATACGTGGTATATCGTGGACTCTGACTCTGAAGATGTTGCGGAAGCCATGAGACAGGAGGGTAGTGATGCAGGGTTCGAGGGGGATGATGATCCCAAATGCCCGTCGATGTTCAGCCGAGCATGGGGCTCGGCCCTTGTGGTTAAAGCGCTAGGGAGGTCTGTTTCTTACATCCTCATGGCTAAACGGCTGACGAGCATATGGGCTCGGGTGAGCACAATCCAAGTGACTTCGCTTAAGAATGGATACTTCCTTGTTAGATTTAGTAGCGGGATTGATTATGAGCGAGCAGTGACGGATGACCCTTGGATGGTGGGTGACAATTATCTGACTGTGCATCCGTGGACAAAGGATTTTAACCCGTATGAATATGAGATCTCTTCGACCCTTGTCTGGGCGAGGCTACTAGAGATTCCCATTCATTACTTTCATCCTGTGGTTGTGATGAAGATCGGGCAGCGTATTGGGAAGCTTATTCGAGTGGTTCAAGCAACAAGTACGGGGGCCCGTACCGACTATGCTCGGGTATGTGTTCAGGTGGATCTCACCAAGCCACTACTCTCGAAATTCTCGTTGCATGGCAAGAAGTATTTCATCCAATACGAAGGTCTAGAAATATTTGTTTGAAGTGTGGGACGTACGTCACACGAGGATGTTGCTCATGCATGACTACGTCGATGGAGACGGAGACAAATACTAATGTGAATAATGTTGATACTCCTTCTGAAGAGCCTAATACCCTTTACGGGGATTGGATGATAGCACAGAAGCGATCTCGGAGGTGGGCTGAGACATAGAGGCGGGGAAGTCTAAGATGGTTAATGGTAAAAGTTCAAAGGGTGGACCAGGAGGTTCCAGATTCACTTCCCTAGCGGCTGATGAGGTGGAGGAAGATATTGGGACAGGCAGGACAAAGGCAGATGGCAGCAATAATAACCACCCCGCGAGCTTTGGGAAAGGGGATATATTAACGAAAAAGTCTTCGGAAGGCATTAGAGGAAATGCTAAATCAGCAGGGGGTACATCTGGGTCGGCTGGCAGGGAATCTGGGAAGAAGACGATGACAGTTGATTCTAACAAGCAGACGCAGCCACCTAACGAAACCGTAACATTGGTCCATCCGACAGCGGAGGGTCTGAACGTACCTGTGAAAAACACTTCCATGAAGGAACCACCACGGATGCCGGCGTCGACCCAGTCGGAGAAAGCAAACAATGGGGTCCAACCCATGGAGCCTAATGCCATGCAAAGACACCATGTTCGGCCTCCTGATAGTCACAGTCAGCAGGTGGAGAGCTCGGGGAATCTTGCCTTAGAGAAGACGAATGAGAGTATTATAGAGAGCCTCGTGAATGAGGCTTCCTCATCATGAGATCTATCGGTGTTTCCGGAGCCTGCTCTTCCATATTTATTAAATGATGAACTTTTTTATGTGGAATTGTAGGGGTGCAGGGAGTAAACGCTTCCTTAGAGTGTTTAAAGAGTATAAGAGAAGATACCGTAAGGATATTGTGATAACTGTTGAGCCACGAATTAGTGGCAGTAAAGCGTTGCAAATGGTGGGCAGTATGGGTTGACAAATTTCTCATTGTGGATGCAGAAGGGTTCTCGGGAGGTATATGGCTAGTTTGGGACTCGGGGTAGCCTCAATTTCGGAAGTGGTTAAGTCGAGCCAGATGCTGCATGTGCAGGTGATGACGGTTGAAGGCAATTGGTACCTCTCGGCGGTGTATGCCAATCCTGCTTTGGTTCAGCGCCGCGAGCTTTGACATTTGGTTAGAGAGCTGGCGGAGTCGGTAGTCGATCCTTGTCTCCTTGTAGGAGATTTTAACTCCATCCTACACCCGTAAGATAAATCAGGCGGTGCAAACTTTGATGCTAGTCGCGCGAGGGAGTTCCAGGATTGCGTGTTGGATGCGGGACTGGTAGATCTTGGGTTTTGTGGACCGCCGTTTACCTGGTTCAAGAGGGGTGTGAAAGAACGTTTGGATAGAGGGCTGGCCAACTCCGCTTGGAGTGATAAGTTCCCAGAGGCTACAGTGAGACACTTGCCGAGGATTAAGAGCGACCATAGGCCTCTTTTGGTTAATTTGCAGCCGTACTTCCAACCTGGTGGACCTAAGCCCTTCAAGTTCTTAGCAGCTTGGCTAGCCAGGCTTGGGCGAAGGGGGGAAAATTTTTATCGTCGGTGGCCGATTTTGTTGAGCAGGCAAAGAAGTGGAATGCTGATACTTTTGGGAATATTATTAAGAGGAAGAGTGCTTTACTAACTCGGATTGAGTGCCTGGAAGCTCAGTTTGGTGGAGATGCGGAGCATGAACCCCTGCAATTAGCGAGACAGGAACTTGAGGAGGTGCTTTTACATGAAGAAATCTTGTGATGCCAGAAGGCTCGGTTGGAGTGGGTAGTCTCAGGAGACAGAAACATGAGGTTTTTCCACTCCAGAACTATGAATCGGCATCGGACAAACAGAATAACGGCTTTAAAAAACGGAGCGGGGGAGTGGATTGATGATCAAGATCGGCTTCTCGATCTAGCACGGGATTTCTTCTTGGGTCTGTACACTGATGAGGAACTCACACCGGAGGAGATTCATCAATCGGTAAAGCATATGGGTGCATTGAAGGCACCGGGAAAGGATGGTCTGAATCCCCTCTTTTATCAGCGTTGTTGGGATTTTGTTGGCTCTGTAGTGGTAGAGTTTGTGAAGTCCTGCTGGCAGGTCCCGTCGCGAGTCCAGGAAGTGAATGACACTATCGTTGCACTTATTCCAAGGTCCAAAGCCCGTCATTGATCGAGAAATTCAAACCGATTAGCCTCTGCAATGTGGCTTACAAAATGATAACGAAGTGCTTAGCTGAGCGTCTTAAGCCTCTGTTGCTTAGATTGGTGCACGCCACGCAGACGAGCTTTGTCCCGGGCAGGCACATCACTGACAATATCTGTATTTTGCAGGAAGTGGTCCACTCGATGCAGGCTAAGTAGGGCAAGGTGGGTTGGATGGTTCTGAAAATTGATTTGTCCAAAGCTTATGACCGAATTAAGTGGAGTTTTGTTCGAGACACGCTAGAAGCCGTGGGTGCCCCGGCGAAGTTCACGGACCTGACTATGAGTTGTATTTCATCGGCCAGGATGCAAAGTCATTGGAATGGTGGCCTGACCGAAGCTTTCTCACCATCGAGTGAGTTACGACATGGATTCCCACTATCCCCATATATTTTCACGTTATGCATGGAGAGGTTGGGGCACTTGATCGATGCAGCATTTGGTGCAGGAGAGTGGAAGCCCATATGCTTGTCCAAGCACGGGCCGAAGTTGTCGCACTTATTCTTTGCTGATGACCTAATTCTGTTAAGTGTGGCTTCTGTGCAACAAGTTCAAGTGATTTTGAGATGCTTAGAGGAGTTTGGGGCGGCCTCCGGACAATCGGTGAGCAAGCCTAAATCGAGGGTGTTCTTCTCGAAGAATGTCTCGGGTGCTGAAGGCCCCTCGCTTAGCGATGCTCTTGATATACCAGTGACTAGTAACTTGGGTCGATACTTGGGCGTACCGGTGATTCACGGCAGGTTGTCCAAAGCAATGTACACCAGTCTTATTGACCGCATTGATGCCAGGCTTGGAGGATGGAAGGTGAACTCGCTGTCATTGGCAGGTCAGATATCTTTGGCTCAGTCAGCCTCTTATCTCTCCCAGCTTACACGATGCAGACTACTCTTCTGCCGGCTTCGGTCAGGGAGTATATAGATAAGAAGATTAGATGTTTCATCTGGGGGAGCTCGGAGCAGAGGAGGAGAGTTCATCTGGTGGACTGGGATTCGTTAAGTAAACCCAAAGACGAGGGGTCTGGGGCTGAGAACCGCGACGAAGATAAACGATGCGTTTATGCTCAAAATTGCATGGAGACTGTTGATTGAGCCAGAGAGCCTCTGGGCACAAGTGGTTCGGGGGAAGTATCTGAAGGAGGTCGATGGGTCGTGGCAACCTAGGAGGAATGGAAGGTTGTCTAACCTATGGAGGGGAGTTCTTATAGTGTTGGATTATTTTCCGGAAGGGACGATGTGGAATGTGAGAAGTGGTATGCAGACTCGGTTCTGGCGGGATAGATGGCTCCAAGATGTGCCGCCTTTGGAGGAGTTTCCGGTTGATCTCCCAGCTGCAGTGAGGGAGTTGCGGGTAGCAGAACTTGTTCTGAATGGGGATTGGAATCTGGCTTTCATTCAAGCCTTCCTCCCAGAGGCTTTGATTCTTTAGCTGCGATTACACCCGGTGCCGCAAGGAGTAGAGCCGGATTTCTCTGTTTGGAGGTTCTCGGATTCGGGGAAGTTCACTGTTCGGTCTGCATAGGAGCTGCTAAGAGACGGTGAGGAGGAGCAGGAGCGCCAGCCGGCGTGGAGGGCCATTTGGAAGCTTTAGGCACCCTAGCACACGCATGCATTCTTTGGTTAGTGCTGCATAAAAAGCTTCTCACTAATGGGGAGCGCTGTAGACGCTATTTGGCCACGTCAGACCTATGTTCGGTTTGTGGCGGCGGCTCAGAAACGGTAATCCACACAATTCGTGACTGTTTCTACGCACGAGCGGTTTGGTCGGAACTGTTGGAGGACGAGCCTGATCAAGTGTTCTTCCAAGAGGACTTAGCGAATTGGATATTGCACTATATATCGGGTAAGAGTTCGACTATTACCCCGATGACCTTCGCAATCATATGTTGGCAGCTATGGAAGAGTCGAAACTTGTGGGTGTTTGAGGAACAGATTGCGCGGCCGGAGCAGCTGGTTCGGGGGGCCAGGCTTTTTAGTGAGCAGTGCAAAGAGGGTTTCGAGAAGGGGAGCATTGCGGTGGAAGGCATGTGGTTCAGCGGAAGGTCAGCTGGTAGCGCCCCCTGTAGGCTGGCTTCTTATCTGTTTGAGGGGAATAGTCGTGTGTTTTTGGCCTATTTTATGGCGGGTTGTGCTATTTTGTCATGTTTCAGGTCCCAGGTGTAAAAGGGAAGGCTAAGCACGAGTTTCGGGGCATTCGGAAGTCATTTCGGTGAAACTGAGCCAAAACACGGGCACACCTAAACCAGAACACGGCCTTGTTCTGAGACCGTGCTTTTACTGCCGAGAGCTAATTCGAGTTTGGCAAACATTGGCCAGAACACGGGCAGGGCTGAGATAGACCACGGGCGTGCTTCACCAAAGCACAGCCGTGTTCTCCCAAAAGCACGGGCGGGCTGAGGCATTACACGGCCGTGCCCTCGACCGTGCTTTGGCCACTGATGCCCTTTTAAGCAGATTTTCATCCAAACAAAAGGGGATTCGAGTTTTAGAGAGAGAGATCAGTTCTTAGAAAGAGAAAGCGACGAACAAGAGTCTGCAAGTGCCCTAGATTAATCTTCAACACCATTGGAGGCCAGCTTGAGCTTGGAGAAGTGCCGATCAACGTCCAGGAGCAGGAATCCATCCTTCACAGTATGAATTTCGCGTCTGATTCTGCTTTTGCTTCTTTCTCCATGGAGTAGTTCTCCCATTCATCTGGGTATGGAGAACCCTAGATTTGTATGTTAGGCTTTGATTGTATGAACCCAAGTACTGATTCTATGATTTGATTATATTCGATTGAGGTTTGAATGATTGAATGACTTGAATCCTGATCAAATTCCTGTTGTTTCTGCTTTAACCTAGAATGAGAATATCTGGCTAGGTTGATAGAGCATCCTTGATTGAAGGTAGGGAGTTGGTGACTTTAGTCGAGGAGCCAACTCACTATTCTATACCGGATTTACTCCGGTAGTGGAGGTTTTGTTTGTTAAGGCCTCAATCTGTTTACTCCGGTGGAGGTTAGTCGCCCGCTAGAGACTCAGATTGAGAGGGTTTGAAGACCTTTAGTCGAGACTTCAGGCTGTTTAAGAACCTTCCGCAGTACAACTATCATAGAAACTGAACTTGGTAATTACAATCCGGCTTAACTGCAGTCTAGGGGGAACCATATCCGGGTGACCTCTCTTAACCTGAATACAACAGTTTACTTGCTTTGTTAGTTTGATAGTTTAGACTTGCATTCCAGTTTCATTGCTAGATAACAAGAATTCACTGAGTAGTCATCAAGTCTAGGACCCGGGTTGACATATAAACCTAACCCGCTATACTACGCTTTAGGAAGTGGTTTCACTTGGCCAATTCCTAGGGCGACAGTAGAAGTGAGTCAGTGGCCTACTCGGTCAATCTAGGAGGTGGATCTATTATGAGTGCTGAATTGGCAGGGATTGCACATGGGCTGCAGATTGCTTGGGATCGAGGATGTCGGAAGGTAGTGTTGCAAACGGACTCGTCTACAGCCATTTCACTCATCCAGTCCGCGAATACTGCACATCCTCACCATACTCTCATCGCTTTTATCTGCCAACTTTTGGAGCGGGAGTGGGATATCTCTCTGAGTCATGTTTTCCGGGAAGCAAACTTTGTGGCAGATCATTTAGCGTCGGTGGGTCACTCTTTGTATGTGGGAGTTCACGTGGTGGACTAACCAGGTACTGCGTTGCGATACTGGTTGTATTTTCACACTATTTGCAAACCCCGCGTTCCATTAATATTTAAGGGTTAGAGCGCCCCTTTGCGCTCTGTTTTTCACCCAAAAAAGAAAATCATCAGTTTGACCCATTAAATTTTGAGTGGGTGTTGCATCTATAAATTAGCATCAGTAATTCAGCTCCCTAGGGATAAAAATAAATAAAACTTATATACCTTATAGAAAAATTAAACATTAGATCTACAAGCTGAAAATCAACAGTGATACGTACTACATGCTCTCATGATCTCCTAGACTTCTACTTTCTAATATTAATAACGAAAAAACAACTTATGTTTAACAATGATGAACTCCAATATATCACATGTAATGAACTCGTGCTGTCGATGCATCACCGCTTGGAGGTATTTATATAAATGTTTCTCGTGTATATTTATATGTTGGGAATCACTTGCCTGGCAACAATTATTTTGTTCATTAATTTGGAATTTTGTGCAATGTATATACAGGAGGATATCATAAGAATGAAGTATATGAATATGGATGCCTACCGATTCTCCATCTCTTGGACTAGAATCATACCATGTGAGCAATATTATCGCTTCTGTTTGACTTTTCCACATTTTGGGGGGTTTATATAGGTTGACTTATAGTATAAAACTATAAATCGTTGCAGCTGGCAAGATCCAGACCGGAGTCAATGAGCAAGGAATCAAGTTTTACCACGACCTCCTCGATCTGCTCGGGAAACATGGTATGTAGAATAATTCATTCAAATGTGGCCTTAAGTACTTTTTGTGGCTCATGAGTTAGACAACTGTAGCAATAATGTCTCGTCTAATTTGTAGGACTGGAGCCTTATGTGACCATATGGCATTGGGATACCCCTCAAGCCCTTGAAGCTGAGTATGGTGGATTCTTAAGCCGAAACATTGTGTAAGTAATGCCTTTTAAAAAAAATTATATTTATTGCATTGGTTCCCCGTTGTTTTCTGATTTTCTTGTTTTCTCTATATCCGTTATGGAGAAATTTTACAATGCTATATAGTATTGGTGCTATAGCTTTTTGCCTTTATGGTACAACTTAAAATATTACATATACGTTATGGTACAAATTTAGATTGTACCTATACTTTTTGTGCAAATTCTTTTATGGCTCCGACTGCTTTTGGAGTGGAGATCCTGTTATTTACATAACTGAGAACGGTAGCTAGCTATAGCTAAAATATATGGATTACACACTTGAACTAAGAGATTAGTCAAAATAAATAAAATATTTCTTAACTATTAATTTTTGTTGGGCATGCGACTCGGATCCTTCTCCACTGAAGAAACACCAAGGATAATCACGCCAAAGAGGAGCGCGCAAGTACACCGGTGTGAAGCGCGCCAAAGTCAAGAGCGCGAGTCGTGCCGTAACCAAGCGCGCTGATAGAGATCGCCCCCGGAGAGGCGCGCGCGAATACTAAACGACGACGCATCACCCAGGCGTGGGCCCTTATCGAGAAGCCGCAGAAGCGGCGCCGCGTCACCGCGTATAGTCCTAGGTATAGCCCTGCTTGTGTCAGGAGTAGTCACATCAGTGCCCTAAGTAGTCACATCAGTGTCCTAAAAGCATGGACTAAATCTCTGTCATGTCAACGGTCATGTCATTGTGTCCACTTGTAACTCAACCACTCACCCACCACCCTGTAGCCTATAAATATGGCATTTACTCCGGTGGGTGAGGGGATCGGATTTTTCGACTCTATCTCTAAAATCATCGACTTCTCTCTCTAGAATACTTCTCCCTTAATCCTTCCTGTAATCTCCTCCGTTCTCCCAGTATCGATTAATCCCTTTCTGCTTACTCTCCTTGACCCATTTTCCCGAGTCTCCCTCCTACACCCAGTTAGGCTCAAACAATTGGCGCCCACCGTGGGGCCAAGCAGAGAAGCAAAAAAAAAAAAAATCAATCCATGGCAGAACATAACTCCGACTCACCTGACGAGTCAACCCCGATCAAGGCGATGACCAACCCAAGGGAGTTCGCAGAAGCCAGCAATCTCAACGCGGTGCTCTTAGAAGAGGAAGAGCCCGAGCTCACAGCCAAAGAAATGAGACAGCTGGTGTCGAAGCAGAACGACGTCATAGCCAACATGCAAAAACAAATGAGCTAGGTCGTGGCGCTCATGATGAGCAGAGAGGCCGCGGCAACAGCTGGCGCGACACCATCCGCGCCGTCTGTCCTACCAGCGCACCCCGCGCACGAAACACAGCAGGTCGCGCTCCCCGCATGCGTGATACCAGTCGCACCTCATCAAACCCACGGAGAAACGTCGGGGACGGCCCAGCCACCTCACCCCGTACATGAAACACAGCCACCTGAGCTTCCAGGAAGGGCAGACCTTAGTTTTCTAGAGCAACACCTATCTCCACAATTCCGACTCAACGCGCCCAAGAAGGCGCTCCACCAGCCGCTAAGCGCGGAAATCATGGCGGAACACCTGAGCGGAATGCCACCCACCCTCCCAACATACAACGGGACGACCGACCCTGAAGATCACGTGAGCACCTTCTGCTTGCGGATGCAGCTCCAAACCAACTCCAACGCGGCGCTATGCCGCACCTTCCCGTCGACGTTTTCTGGGATATTCCTAGACTGGTATAACAGACTCTCAAACGGGATCATCCGCTCATTCGAGGAGTTCATACTCCTATTCACAACAAAATTTGCATCCCAGAAAAGAAGGCCCCTCCACCTCAAGGCGCTGGTAGATCTCAGGCAAAAAGACGGGGAGAGTCTACGAGCGTTTTACGCCAGATGGTCCAGAGTAGCGATGGCAGTGCGTGACCTCACTCCTGAAATCGCCGCGCATCACCTTATGGAAGCCACAACCAACATGGAACTCAAGCGGGCGCTAGCAAAAAGGCCCGTAACTCTATCAACAGAGTTGGAAATGAAAATCGAGAAGGCAATTACGCTCGAGGAAACCCTCGGAGCGGGATCTGTTAGGCGCTTCGAGCCGGCCAAGTTGCCGCGAGAAGAACAGGGACGACGGCAGATCACGCTGCCGCGAGATAAGCTAGCACAGCTGCACAGCGGACATAAGCAACACCACCCTCCCCCACAAGAGCAAGCGCAGCGGAGAAGGTCACCAGACAGGCGCGCACCTCACGCATTTACACCGCTCAACGACTCCGTAAAGAACGTGTTCCACGTTCTACGCGAGAAGGGATACAAGCTCAACTGGCCCGCGCCCCTGAAGTCTTTGCCCCACATGAGAAACCCAAAAAAGCATTGCGACTTCCATAGAGCGACGGGGCACTGGACGGAGGATTGCCGAGAGCTGCGCTATGAGATTGAGGGCCTCATACGGCGAGGGTTGCTGACCGAATTCACGCAGGAAAAGGAGGAACAGGTCGGGGGACACCAAAACCCGCCGCCACCTCCACAAGCCGATTACAACGAAGCCACCACAGACTATATGGTGCGTAAGGAAATAGGGGTGGTGACGGTAGAAGGAGATTGCCCGAAAAAGAAAACCAAGCGCGAACGAGCAATCGAATTCGCGGCAGCTGATGTACGAGTAGGGGGTCAACTGAGTTTCGACGACACCGAACTACCGCAAGGAGTTCCATCGGAAGACCCACTCATCATCACCGCACTGGTAGCCTCTTGCAAAATCCACCGCCTCCTGATAGACGAGGGTGCAGCGGCAGACATCCTCTTCCAAAGCACAATCAACAAGATGGACGTCGACCCACGCTTAATCAAGCGCGCTCAAGGGAACTTGGTCGGCTTCTCCGGAGCGAGGGTGCCAGTAATTGGGGTGATCACTCTCCCCGTGGTCATCGGAGACCAAGAGCCGCGCGTCTCAAAGCAGATCGAGTTCACAATAGTCGACTGCAAGTCGTCCCACAACGGCATCTTGGGTCGACCCTTCTTGGCGAAATTCATGGCCCTTCCTTCCACGTGCCATCAAAAACTCAAGTTCCCCACAAAAATGGGAACCGGAGAGGCGCGCAGGACACCGTGGGAAGCCCTGAAGCTAGAAGGAGAGCCTCGACAAACGAACATTGTCGACACAAGGCCAGAAGAACCCCGCCCGGAATCAATGGATTCCGATTTCGAGGTCGCGCTCGACCCAGCCGAGCCGACCAGGAAAATACGCGTCTCGACTCACGTTCGCGATGACGCGATTGAGCCACTGATAGCGTTATTGAAGGAGTACAAGGAGCTCTTTGCCTGGTGTACAGAAGACATGCCAGGAGTACCAAGGCATGTGGCCCAACATTGCCTCGCAGTCCCGCCAAGCGCCATTCCGAGACAACAAGCGCGACGCGGTTTTACTGGCGACAAGTTGAAGGCCATCGAAGAAGAGGTGTCGCGACTCTTGGCGGCAGGGCTGATTCGCCCAGTCAAATACCCAAAGTGGTTGGCGAATGTAGTCTTGGTAAAAAAATCTTCAGGCGCGTGGCGGATGTGCGTTGACTACACGACAATCAACAAGGTATGCCCGGGAGACCCTTACCCCCTGCCGCGCATCGACCAACTGATCGACGCCACCGCCGACCACGAGACACTGTCTTTCTTGGACATGTTCTCAGGGTACCATCAAATCCCGATGTCGCGCGAAGATGAAGAAAAGACGGCGTTCATGACTCCCTTCGGAAACTTCTGTTTCGTCGGAATGCCGTTCGGACTGAAGAACGCGGGCGCGACATACCAAAGAATGATGGATTTGGTGTTCTCACATCAGAGGGGGCGGAACATCGAGGCGTACGTGGACGACCTCATCGTCAAAACCAAGGCCGGGAACTCGCACCTGGAGGATCTACGAGAAACATTTGAGGCGCTCCGCAAGCACAGCCTCCGCTTGAACCCACTGAAGTGCGTCTTTGGAGCAGAAGCAGGGAAGTTTTTGGGTTTTATGATAACCAAGCGCGGCATCGAGGTGGACCCAAAACAAATCACGGCGGTCCAACAACTGCGGGCCCCAAGGAGCGCACTTGAAATCCAATCCCTGAATGGGAAGATTGCAGCGCTGGGGAGATTCATCCCGAGGTCGGCCGACAAGTGCGCGCCCTTCTTCAAGACACTCAAAAACGGTGCAAAATTTGCATGGACCAAGGAGTGTGAAGCGGCCTTCCAAGAGCTGAAATCATATCTTGTATCCCCCCCTGTGTTGACAGCTCCCAAGCCTAATGAAAAGTTATTCCTTTATCTTGCCGTGTCAACAAGAGCAGTGAGCGCCGTCCTAATAACCAGAAGAATTGACAACACCGAGCAGCCCGTGTATTGCACCTCGCGAACGCTAGTTAGCGCAGAAACAAGATACTCCTCAATTGAGAAGGCAGCCCTGGCATTAGTAAGCGCGTCACAGAAGTTGCGCCCCTACTTCCAAGCGCATCAGATCACCGTCCTGACCAACCTCCCACTAAAGAAAATCCTAACCTCGATGGAAGTGTCAGGGCGCATGGTGAAATGGGCAGTCGAACTCTCGGAGTACGACATCCAATATGCGCCGAGACCAGCAATCAAGGCCCAGATCCTAGCAGACTTCATCGCTGAAGGAGTCACCCTCGACACTACACCAGAGGGAGTATGGGAAGTTTACGTTGACGGAGCGGCGAGTAAGCACGGTGCTGGCGCGGGAGTCGTCGTGCGCACGCCAATAGGCGTCGTCCACGAGATTGCCATCAGATTCAGAGCGTTAAAGACTAATAACGCGGCTGAGTACGAGGCCATCTTGGCAGGGATGACCGCTGCCCACGATTTGGGCGCAAGAACGATAAGGGTACTCTCAGACTCCTCACTGGCAGTCAACCAGCTGAACGGATCCTTTGACGCGAAGGAAAATACTCTGGCACACTACATAGAGCGCGTCAAGCTGCGAGCAGCCAACTTCGATGCGATAACCTACGTGCAAGTACCAAGAGAGGAGAACATGCACGCCGATGCGCTTTCCAAACTGGCAACCGCCACCGACTTCGAAGCAACGCGTCTGGTGACGGTACAGAAGGAAGAAGAGGAAACTCACCGAGAAGTGGCGATTAACACCACCCAAATCGAAAGCGATGAGGACTGGAGAGCCCCAATTGTGCTTTACCTACAAGAAGGCACGGTACCAGAGGATGCTAAGGAAGCATGGACTCTAAGACAGAAGGCGGCCCGATGCACACTCATTGGAGGAGAGCTGTATCGCCGGTCGTTCTCGGGCGTCTACCTAAAGTGCATTGGACAAGAGGAGGCGCGAGACATGGTACGCGACATACACGAGGGGTTGTGCGCAATGCACGCCGGCCCGCGCAGCATGGAGCGCACCATTTTGCTTCATGGGCACTACTGGCCGCGAATAAAAAAAGATACGAAAAAATACGCGGACCAGTGCCACAAGTGCCAAGTCAACGCGCGTCAGCACCACCTCCCGTCCACCGAACTCCAAGCCAACCTAAGTCCGTGGCCTTTCGCCCAATGGGGGGTGGATCTCTTGGGCCCCTTCCCAACAGCAAAGGGGAAACGCAAATACATTATTGTGGCCGTGGATTATTTCACAAAGTGGATCGAGGCTGAAGCACTGGCCTCGATAACGGCACAACAGGTAACGCGCTTCCTGAAGAACAACATTCTCTCACGTTTCGGAGTCCCAAACGCACTCATCTTCGATCACGGGAAGCAGTTTGACTGCGCAGAAGTGATATACTTTTGCGACCAAGTGGGAGCCATTGCAAGGTTCGCATCCGTAGCTTATCCCCAAGCTAATGGCCAAGCGGAATCTGCCAACAAGGCAATCCTGCACGGCTTACACACCCGCTTGAACGACGCAAAGGGTAATTGGGCTGACGAATTGAACACGGTGTTATGGGCGCACCGCACCACACACAAGGTGGCCACAGGCAAAACCCCATTTGCCCTCACATATGGCACGGACGCGGTAATTCCAATTGAGACAACGACCCCAACCTACCGTGTCGCGCAGTACAACGAGGAAACCAATGACGAGGCGCGATTGCTGGAGCTGGAGTTATCACAGGAAAAGCGCGAGTTAGCAGCAATCAAGCTGGCTGCAATGAAAGAGCAAGTAGCCAAGTACCACAACGCCAAGCTGATTCCGCACAAGCTGATCCTCGGAGACCAAGTACTGCGCCGGAACTTCCGTCCCGATCCCAAACACGGGAAGCTCGCCTCAGTATGGGAAGGTCCCTACCTAATCCGCGAGGTGGTTGGCGCCAACACCTTCAAATTAGTGAACTGGGGGGCAATAAGATACAAAGAACGTGGAACGCACAAAATCTCCGGAAGTATCACCAAGCAACTTAGCATGTATTTTACTCACGCCACGGCGTCTTGTCTCAAAGGAATGAAAGCACTATTCGCGCCCATCTAGTTCGCAAGAACAAACAACTAGCAATAGTCCAGCACTATTCGCGCACATTTAGTTCGCAAGAACAAAACTAGCAATAGTCCAGCACTATTCGCGCACATTTAGTTCGCAAGAACAAAAATTAGCAATAGTCCAGCACTATTCGCGCCCATCTAGTTCGCAAGAACAAAAAATTAGCAACAGTCCAACACTATTCGCGCACGTCCGGCATTAGCCACGATCACGCAATCCCAAGGAACAAACAATCCCAAGGAACAAACACACGCAGTGAATTAACACTCTTTGGATTCAATAAGGCGGGAGCAACAAGTCGCAACTACACTTGATAAAAAGAAAGACAAGCAACAACAACGCAAATAGGGAACAGTTCAGCACAAAATAATCAAACGCTCTAGCCCTCTTTACGCTGCTTGCGACGCAACAGAGGCTCATCGTCTTCCTCGTCGTCATCATCAACTCGCTCAGCGCCCCTATCCGCGCCTTCAGCCTTCCCCCCAGCTTGGCCCTCTTCCCCTTCCGGGCGCTCATCCTCCTCCTCATCTTCCTCTTCATCATCCTCACCCCCCGACTCGGAGTCGGACTCCAGGGGACGCTTCTCACCAATCCACGTCTGCACGTGGCGCACCATTTCGCGCGTGTCCCAACGGAGTTCCGGGTTCTCCGGTCGCACCTTCTTCCCGACCGCGAGCACAGCCTTGGTCATAGCGTCGGCAAGAATCTTCCCGAAAGCAGGAGAAGACTTGAACTGGCGAACGGCCGCGACTCCGGCCTCGCGGACAGCTTCCGCCTTCGCGATGTTATGGAGACTGACCAAGTCGTCCTTCTCCTTTTGATGCTCTTCGCGAGCTTGCTTCAGCTTCTCATCAAAGGAGGCCTCCAGTTGACTCCGGATGGATGAGCGCTCCTCAGCTCGCACTTGCTCCTTCGCGGCCAACACATCGGCGGCCAGCCTACTCTGCAGGAGGCCAAGTTCCTCCATTGCCTCATTGGCTTTGTTGGTGGCCACGTCGGCACGGTTATTCGCGCCAACAACCTTGCCCTCCAGCTGGATAATCTTGGCCTCATCGTCCTTTATCCTTGCGCGCTGCAGCGCGCGCTCCTTCTGAGCGCGGTAGGTGGCCGACAAACCCTACAACGCTCACAGACTTAGCAAAACAGATGCATAAAATAAAGAATTAGACGCGGCAAAACTCAAGCTCGGCCTTACCGCGAAATGAATCTGAGCCAAGTCGTGCAATGGGTCAGACTTCTCCACCCTGGGCGGAACACTTAGCACGGGCCCAAGCGCGCGAAGTGCAGTGTTGGCGGCCACGAGATTGCAGGCCGCCGACGTATGAATCCGCACGTCGCGGAAGTAGTTGACCGCCGCAGCGCCGGCAGTGGGCTGAACGGTGGCACCAGAGGAGCTCCCAGCCTTGTCTCCCCTCTCCCTCTCAGACCGAGAGGGCCTACTCCCGCGCGACAGATAGCGTCGCGTCCCCATGTGCAGCCTGCGCATCCTGCGCCACTCGCGCGCTCGCTTCTCCCACGCGAGCAGCCTTATGTGGCGGCTCAACCGCCGCTCGCGGCTGCTCAATCCCCTTTCGCTTCGCGCCCCTCGGCGCCGCACCTTCCTTTTCCTTCTTCTTCTTCTTCTTGTCGCCGCGTGGCGCGACGTCGTCGACCGACATCATGCTGACGAGACTGGAGAAGTCAACACCTGCGCCAATAAGTCGTAAGAAAGCGGTTAATATGACAAGAATGCAAAAGAAAAGAAATACAACTAACCATCGGCGAACAGCTCCTGCAAACAAGCCTCGCGCACTCCCGTGGCGTATAAGTTGATCTTATGATCCATGCACGCCTCATAGTCATCGTCCAGCCCGTCGTAGGCACCGACGTCTGACTCGTACCCGTGCGTGCTGCCGCTCTTCCACTCAGTGGGCTCCTCAATAAACTCACTCGCCCACTCTCCAGGAACGGGCTTGACGTAGAAAAAACGATCGAACCAAGTCTTCTTCAGCTTGGGCGACCCGTACACGAAGCCCTCCGGCCTCTTGTCGCGACGCTTAATGGACAGGCAGTCGCTCCGCGTAGTTGGCTCCTTGATCTTATATATTTTCCGAAAGAGGCCATAAGTCAGCTCGATATTGAGCCGCTTGCACACGAGTCGGAGACAACTCGCATGCATGATGACGGATGGAGATAGCCGCCCAATGGAGCATCTGAGGCGCCTATACAGAGCGCACAAGAGCGGGTCGATGGGGAACTTAAACCCCATCACCCAGTACTCCGTGTACACGCCAAACCAACCCGCGGGGCAATGCCCCACCATGCTGCGCGTCGACGGAGCAGCGTACTGCCAGTGGGGGGGCAAGCCTAGCCCGCGCACTATCTCCTCCACATCGCCAACATCATATATGGAGGCGTGTTCGGGACCGCGCTTGAGGTTGTCGTGCGGCGCGGGTTGATCGCCCCACATCTCGGCCCACTCGATAACATTGTACGCGGCGCCAACACCGTGTAATCCGAGCCATAGCCTCGGAGACGCGCACATTATAGTCCGGCTCTGACTGCGCGTCAGAGTCTTCGCGCATTTCACCACCACCTTCCACCGGCCTCCCATCACGGCCGCGGCGGATTATCAGCACCCCACTAGCCCCTTGTCTCGACTGCCCGCTCCCGGAGGCACCCATACCTTCTTCAGGAGAACCACCGAGATCGTCCTTCGATCTGATGTCGAACGACGGCGTCTCCGGAACCCCATCGCCGCCGTTCCCATCGCCGGAACCGTCGTTTAATTCCATCGAATGATCAGTAGAAGTGTGCGAAAGAGTCGAAAGATTACCTTCTTCGCCTTGTACGACCTCAGCCTCGTTGATGTTGATGCCAGCCATGATAATAACTTGATCCAGCAACAAAGAAAGGAGTATCGAGGTTGTAAAAGAAGGAGAGGAATCTCAGAGAATGAAGAACAGAGAAACGATAAGCAAGAAACGATAAACAGAAGTTGTGAAAACAGATGAGCCAACCCTCCCATAAGAAACCCATATTTATACGCAGCCAAAGGAAAACGAAGGGTTAAAGCTGCATAGGGATTCGTAACCGCCAAATCCTACAAAATCTTTTCGAATTCTTTCGAATTTCAAGAAATCCCCGCCCAAAATAGCCCAATCAACCAGGGACACGTGGACACCTACCATCATAGACAATAGTCGGCGACGCCACATGTGCCGCGCACCGCCTGGGGGGCATGGCACACCCGCGAGGAAGAAAAAACAACACCACTTACGGGCGCGCCTCAAAGTCGCGCGCACCGCCTGGGGGGCATGAAAAAAACAACACCACTTACGGGGCGCGCCTCAAAGTCGCGCGCACCGCCTGGGGGGCATGGAAAAAGCAACACCACTTACGGGGCGCGCCTCAAAGTCGCGCGCACCGCATGGGGGGCATGGCACACACGCGAGGAAGAAAAAATAACACCACTTACGGGCGCGCCTCAAAGTCGCACGCGCAACAGGGGGGCATGACACACCAACTTCGACCGAGCGCACAAACAAAACAAATGGATAACATCCGCGATGCACGAGACACGCGCGCCATTAAAGACGACACACGAGACACGCACCAGAAACGCAAAAGGAGATGGAAGCGCCCAGATCCGAGTCAACCACACGAAGATCAAACAGGTGGCATTCGCGGAATACCACCTGATGGGGGGCAATTGTTGGGCATGCGACTCGGATCCTTCTCCACTGAAGAAACACCAAGGATAATCACGCCAAAGAGGAGCGCGCAAGTACACCGGTGTGAAGCGCGCCAAAGTCAAGAGCGCGAGTCGTGCCGTAACCAAGCGCGCTGATAGAGATCGCCCCCGGAGAGGCGCGCGCGAATACTAAACGACGACGCATCACCCAGGCGTGGGCCCTTATCGAGAAGCCGCAGAAGCGGCGCCGCGTACTTTTTGTGGCTCATGAGTTAGACAACTGTAGCAATAATGTCTCGTCTAATTTGTAGGACTGGAGCCTTATGTGACCATATGGCATTGGGATACCCCTCAAGCCCTTGAAGCTGAGTATGGTGGATTCTTAAGCCGAAACATTGTGTAAGTAATGCCTTTTAAAAAAAATTATATTTATTGCATTGGTTCCCCGTTGTTTTCTGATTTTCTTGTTTTCTCTATATCCGTTATGGAGAAATTTTACAATGCTATATAGTATTGGTGCTATAGATTTTTGCCTTTATGGTACAACTTAAAATATTACATATACGTTATGGTACAAATTTAGATTGTATCTATACTTTTTGTGCAAATTCTTTTATGGCTCCGACTGCTTTTGGAGTGGAGATCCTGTTATTTACATAACTGAGAACGGTAGCTAGCTATAGCTAAAATATATGGATTACACACTTGAACTAAGAGATTAGTCAAAATAAATAAAATATTTCTTAACTATTAATTTTATTTTCAAAAAATCCAAACAAACAGGGAACGTAGGACTACGACCCTAAACAGACACTCGCAGAGGTCAGAGCCGACATGATGAGGGTCAAATTCTACAACGCCCATCTTGAAAGCAATGTTGGGGCAAACTGACAACTTTTATTGATAATAAAAATGAGTTTAAATACAATCACTAAACCCATGACTCAGCCCCACGACCCCATTTTCTGATTTTCTATGTTGTAAACACTCTAACAGCCCTTGACTCTCTAAGAAACTAACAGACTCAACGTATTGAGACCCAAGCTATCCAACTTCAGACTTTATCTACATGAAGCAAACTAAATGACATCATCTTAACCAAACTGACTCAACACAAACAGAACGACGACACTTCAACAGACACACTCTAATACTAAAAATGACCCAAGTTTGAATCCAGCTTCTACTTCCAATCAATTGCTTGTAGTGTGTAACATTTGCAGGAACTTCATCTCCACTGATTGACAGTTTAGTTCTAGGAACTATTGGATTCTTGCAGAAGTTACATTCCAGAAGCTTGAACTTTTCCAGAATCTCACGAGCATACTTCTGTTGGCACAGAAAAATCCCATTCTCATTTTGAATCACCTCAACTCCAAGAAAATACCTCATTTTGCCAAGATCAGTCATCTCAAACTTCTCCTTCATGGAAGCCTTGAACTCTGCAAGCATAGACTCACTGTTGCTAGTGTACATTACATCATCAACATAAATACTTACCAACAACAGATCTGCTCCCCTTCTTTTTATGAACAAGGTGTATTCATATGTGCATCTCTCGAAGCCATTCTGCTAGAAATAGCTTTCTATCTTGCTGTACCAGGCCCTGGGTGCCTGTTTTAAACCATATAGAGCCTTGTTTAGCTTGTAAACCTTTGCTTCTTCACCTGGAGCTACAAAACCTTCAGGCTGACATATGTAGACATCCTCATTTAATTCCCCATGAAGGAATGCGCTTTTGACATCTGATTGATAGACTGTCAAACCATAGAAAGCAGCTAGAGCCAGAAAAGTTCTTATCGCATCCCACCTTGCCACTGGTGCAAACACTTCTGTATAATCAATACCTTCTTTCTGAGCATAGCCCTTTGCTACCAGTCTTGCTTCAAATTTGTCTACTTCTCCAAACTCATTAAGCTTGGTTCTGAATACCCACTTTACTCTGATAGGAGTTACACCAGGTGGCAGTACTGTTAGGATCTAGGTTCCATTCTTTTCAATTGCCACAATCTCCTGCT